GCAGAGTTTCGCACAACTCTGCAACTTCGGTCGATCAGCTCGACATCGCTCGGTCGAACAGCGTTCGCTGAGCACAGCTCCTCGACCTGAACTCTTCGACCAGGATCGTCGGCCAGCGCTCTTCGACGGGAGCTCGTCGCGCAGAGATCGCCGACCAGAGCTCGTCGACCAGATTCTGACGAACAGAGCCCTCTCGACCGCAACTTCCGTCGAACTGCAGAAGTCCATTTCGTCAACCAATTCATCGCGAACTTCTCGTCGACGGCGAGATTGGCTGCGCCCAAGCGAGGGCAGGGCCTTTCTCTTCGACAGAAACGTCACCCGTGTGTCCTTTTGACCATGCACCTGGAAGTTGCAAGCAAAGTCGGCGACAATCACAAAACTCTTCGTGCGCACGAGAGTTGTCGCGAATCTGGTTTCCAGCGTCGCAAACACACGGGGCAACTTACGCAGGCTGGCCACGACTCGATGGTCGCCATAAAAAGTTCAAATTTGATGGTCGAATTTTTGTCTTCCAAGTGATTCATGTGAAGCGAGGAGCAGCGACTCGGGTAAAAATATCCATATAGTCGAGTCTAGGTCGACCTAGGTTCAAATGTATACAGTTCAACAAAAAACAAAAACGAGTTTTGCAATACTCTACCAAGAATCACGCGCCCTTGCAACCTTGGAGTCAACCAGGAAGAAATCATCCGCAGCCTGAACGAAATTTGCTCACCCGAGCCCCTCTCCACGTCACCTACTTCCCCCCACGGTTGGCCCGCGAATACCAAAAGGTGGCCGACGCACGGGCCCACGACACCAAATCCACATCGATTGTGACGGAGTGCTGACGTGGTGAGAATTACTCCTAGCTGGGACCACCAGGGTTGCAGACATCACAGCAAAACAGAACGCGCTCCGCTACCTCCATTGGGATGAGATTGGAGTGCTCACCCGCGCCTCTTACGCTGAACGCGTAAAGCCAGCGCCTTGACTCGAGGATCCTCATAATTCACACAGCTCAGACACTAACTCCCTAGGTACATTGAACATCGTCGAGTTCTCCCAGGAACCGCTTCAACTTTCGTCAGCCACAGCGCCTGATCCACATCTCGTTCTCCATCACTATCAGCCTGGTGGTGACTGTGGCAACTGCTTGACCTTGGGAGTATTGTCGAGCTTTTCAACGCACCAGAACTATGGCGGGTATGACAAAACCAAAGCCTTTCAACGGTAGCTTCTTAAAACCAGGGGCTTCAGACAGTAATTCTGACGTTTTTCTTTGGCTCCAATCGCAGGAAATTTCTCTTTCGGTGCGCTCAAGGACGCATCACGTGCGGCCATTCATCAGGTACGAACCAAAGCCCGTTATTGGCCGAATTCGTAACCAGCGTGTAGAATGCGGCTAGTTTTCTACTATGTTTTGATTATCCTGAATTCCTCGCGCAGTTCGTGGAAGAGGAGCAGCGCCGATTCGATGCGGAAGTCGCGGAGGTCGAGGCGTGGTGGGCATCTGGCCGCTTTGCTCTCACCCGCCGGCCCTACACCGCCAGAGACGTCGTTCGCCTTCGGGACAGCCTCCCCAAGATGTACCCCTCGGGCGCGCAGGCAAAGAAGGTACGCGAAAACTCGTCGCGCAAAGTCATCGTACCGCAAATTACGCTTTTAGTCATTGGTCCCATTTTCTTGCTCCCATTCTTACTACGTCGCCTGAATGTGCTGGCTCACTCAATCTTCGAGCATGTCTGCTCACCTTCTCCCTGTGGCATCCCCCTTCAGCTGTACGCACTTCTGAAGCGGCACCAGGCGAACGGCACTTGTTCCCGCACGTTCGGGTCGCTGGATCCGGTGCAGGTGGTGCAGATGGCCAAGTACCTCGACTCCATCTACGTGTCGGGCTGGCAGTGCGCATCGACGGCGGCGACGTCGAACGAGCCCGGGCCGGACCTGGCGGACTACCCGTACGACACGGTGCCCAACAAGGTGGATCACCTCTTCCTCGCGCAGTCGTTCCACGATCGCAAGCAGCGCGAGGCGCGCTTCAGCATGAGCAAGGAGGAGCGCGCGCGCACGCCGTACGTGGACTACCTGGCGCCCATCATCGCGGACGCCGACACAGGGTTCGGCGGCATCAGCGCGACGGTGAAGCTGGTGAAGATGTTTGTGGAGCGCGGCGCGGCGGGCATCCACATGGAGGACCAGGCGTCGGTGACGAAGAAGTGCGGGCACATGGCGGGCAAAGTGCTCGTGTCCACGCAGGAGCACGTCAACCGCCTCGTCGCGGCGCGCCTGCAGATGGACATCATGGGCACGGAGACGGTGCTGGTGGCGCGCACGGACGCGGAGGCGGCGACGCTCATCATGACCAACGTGGACAAGCGCGACCACGCCTTCATTCTCGGCGCCACCAACCCGCGCCTTCGCGACCAGCCGCTGGTGCAGGTGATGGCGGACGCGCAGGCGGCGGGCAAGACGGGGCAGCAGCTGCAGGCCATCGAGGACCAGTGGACGGCGGCGGCGGGGCTCCGCCTCTTCGCCGACGCCGTCGCCGACGCCATAAGCTGCCGCTGGCGGACGCCGAGAAGGCGCGCCGACTGGACCAGTGGGCGGCGCAGGCGGGCGCGCTGTCGAACGCGGAGGGGCGCTCGCTGGCGGCGAATCTGGGCGTGACGGAGCTGTTTTGGGACTGGGACCTGCCGTGCACGCGCGAGGGCTTCTACCGCTTCCAGGGCAGCACCAAGGCGTGCGTGGCGCGTGGCATCGCGTTCGCGCCGCACGCGGATCTGGTGTGGATGGAGACGGCGAAGCCGACCATCAGCCAGGCACTCGAGTTCGCGGAGGGCGTGAAGGCGGCGCACCCGCAGCTCATGTTGGCGTACAACCTGTCGCCGTCGTTCAACTGGGACGCGTCCGGCATGAGCGACGCGCAGATGCAGGAGTTCATCCCCGCGCTCGCGTGCATGGGCTTCTGCTGGCAGTTCATCACGCTCGCCGGCTCCCACGCCAACGCGCTCGTCACCGACACGTTTGCGCGCGACTACGCGGCGCGCGGCATGCTGGCGTACGTGCAGGACATCCAGCGGCAGGAGCGCACGTTCGGCGTGGAGACGCTGGCGCACCAGAAGTGGTCCGGCGCGAGCTACTATGACAGCCTCATGAAGACTGTCACGGGCGGCGTCTCGTCCACTGCCGCCATGGGTCACGGTCAGTTTGTCGCACGGGATGGGTGGGGGGCGGTCACGGGGATTGGATCTTGGGTCTTAGGAAATGGGAAAGCATACGTGTTGAAGGAGAATATCACACAGCGTGGATCTATGCGTTTGTGTTGCTCTACGTGCTTTTCCCCGTGCTGCATCCTTCACAGCAGTCCCTATCACACGCACCATTCCAAGCCTGTTTGCTGTTCCCTTTAACCTTTTCCCGTGACTTCAGGTGTTACGGAGGATCAGTTTGGTGGGTCATTGTGCAAGATGTGAGCTGACAAGCATGTGCCGATCTGCTGACCCATCAACTCCATCCACATGACCCTCCTCGTTGCACTGCTTGCTGCAAGGCACTAGGTCATGTCCTGGGAGCTCCTTGGCAGTGGCTTGTGAGATGAGGGATGCTGGCTACCCTATCAGGCAGCAGCATGAGCAGCAGTGAATTGCAGCTACTACACCCTGTTTCTCGCCATAGTGAATTTCGGTATACTGTATTCCCCGTTACTAGAAACTCAAGCCGTACAGAAGCGTGCTATCACCTGCGTTATAGTGAAATTTGAACCAGCGCGATCCAGTGTGATGGATTACGTTTTCGATAGCTATCTAAACATTTTGGAACGGCTGGATACGGTATCTAGGGAAAATGAATTCTGCGAACCTACCCTCACAACACCCTCCTGCAAGGGACGGTTGACTGGTTTCGGTAACAGAAAAATTCCTAATACTGCCAAGAAATAGTAACATTCTTACGCGGTTCAGTGTAGCGAAAAACAGGGTGTATCAGCATTGGCGCATCATTTGTACAGCCTGCCATATCCATTCATGCACAGCACAGCCACAACCATACCATATCCATTCTCTTCATTTCTTCGGGTCCACACCACACAGCACATCACCCTGTCTCGTCACAGATCAGTGTTTATAGTAGGGTCATCACCATACGCCACAGTATTATTACAGTATTATTATGATATCCATTCTCTTTATTTCCTCGGGTCCACACCACACAGATCAGTTAGAATGGTATTACTATAGTAGGTCTGTAATGCTGTTTCCTTCCACTGTTTATCAATAAATGCAATATCCAAGCAATTTTAACGAGATTGTAGTGCCTTGGCATCCTCTAGATCTTCTCTCTTCTTGGCTTGTGAGGGAGGAACAGCGGCATAGACATCAGGTCTGGCTCAGCTAATCACACCAGCCTGGTGAGATATGTACTCTGCAACAAGCTCTAACAAGAGACTGCGTGTGTCCCTTGCTCCCTTCCGTGTTGCTAAGTTCTGTCCTGTCCCACGTGCTCCGTTGCCAGTGTTCAACGAGGATTGATTTCACCATCCACCAGCCGATCAGCCCCTGCGCCCCACCCAGGCCAAACAGCACGGCGCAGCGGGCGGCGAGCTTCGTCTTGATGTAGCCGCGGGCGGCGAAGTAAGCGGCGGGGAAGAGGAACAGCAGGCCGAGCGCCCTCCCCCACATGCGGTGAGCGTACTCCATCCAGTAGAACTTGAACTCATCGACAGTCATGCTGCTATTGACTCTGTTGAAACATGAAGAACAGAAGGAGTAAGTAACGGAGGGGATTTGAGGTTGTTGAGTGGGTTGAGAAGAGCAGGCGGCGGAGCGCCCTCCTCCAGATGCGGTGAGCATATTCCATCCAGTAGATGAACTTGAATTCATCAACTGTCATGCTGCTGTTGACCCTGTGAAGGGGGAACGAGAAAAGCAGGAGTGACGAGGGGTTGAGTGGGTGAGAGGGTTACAAAGAGCAGGCCGAGCGCCCTCCCCCACATGCGGTGGCCTTACTCCATCCAATAGATGAACTTGAACTCATCTACCGTCATGCTGCTGTTCACCCTGCAAGGGGGAACGAGAATAGCATGGGCAGAAGGGGAGGTGGAACTTGAGCTTCCTGAGGCACCTGAGGGGTCTGAGGGGAGTGATGGGACAGTGTTCCGTCCATCTGCGGTGAGCATACTCCATCCAGTCGATGAACTTGAACTCGTCCACTGTCATGCTGCTGTTCACCTTGTGGGAATGAGAGAGAAGTCAATCGTAGTATGAGTAGAGTAGCATGTGGAGTGCGGGCGAGTGGCATGAGTGCGTATGGACATGAGGGCATGTGGCATGAGAGCGTATGGACATGAGGGCACGTGGCATGAGGCAGTGAGGAAACTAGCGAGATCTCCCACAGCCACCACGGCAGCGGCAGCGGCAGAGGCAGAGGCAGCGGCAGCGGCAGCGGCAGCGGCAGCGGCAGCGGCAGCGGCAGCACACTAACCTCTTGAACTCAGGCGACTGGCGATATTTGTCAAACTCCCCCGCCCACTCCTCCTCGCTCCTGGGTGCCTGCTCGCCACTAAACTTCCAGTCAGTCATGGAGAGCCCTGAGCGCGTGAGGCGCGTCACACCCCCAAGCACCACCAGCGCCCACACCTACGCCGCACACACCATCAGCCACCCCCCCACCGCCCTCTCTGCTGCCGCCCCCCCCGCCACTAGCGCGTGTGCGCCTGCCTCTGCTGCTGCTGACGTGGCGGATGGGAATGAGGTTGGGGCGGTGGATGCTGCTGCTGGGGTGGGGGCTGGGCTTGCTGCTGGTGACGTGGCTGAGAGTGCTGACGTGGCGGAGGAGGTTTGGAGCGTGCGGATCACATTGGCTGGGGATGAGAGGGAGGGGGAGGCGGATGACTGGAGTGCTGCGGAAATAGTGAAATATATTTTGGGTGGCATGCTGTTGGTTGCTCGCATGTGCGGTCTGCTGATGCTGCCGATTTGCTGTATCGCATGATGACGTGGCACAAGCATGTTGAATCCACGTGCTAGTGACAGTGCGGAGGGACTGCTGCTGACTTGGGTCACGTTGACCGGCGTTGACCCGCCTGACTTGATGTGGGCGGCACTGGACGCAGTGGGGCCGCATGCTGAGCTGGCGCTTGTAGATGCATCTGTACACGTGGCAGCGTGGTAGTGGCCTGATTGCGTGGCAAGAAGAGGACTTGCGTCGTTTGTCACGGATGGGAATGTCGTGGCATTGTGTGACGTGGAAGGGTGGGAGGGAGGCGGACGCGGGAGGGAGAGACGGGACAGCGAGCAGACGTGTGCTGATGATAGCGGCGGAGCGGCGCTGCCACATGGCTTGATCCGATTGGCCGAACGGGATTGCGCACTGAACCACCGCTGAACAGCCGCAGTCAAGTCCGCTTTCGAAATTTCTCGAAAGTAAGAGTTCCCTTAGATGTGAGGATATGATGATAGCTTAAATGAGAGGAAAAGCGACTGCGGAGACGCACGAGTCGTACACAACACAGCGGACGGCACCGTATGCGCAGAAAGCGTCAGAACGGGGTGTGGGCGGAAGAGAAGCGGACAGAGGGAAGCACCACGGCAGATCCGCCACAGTGCGGAACGAGCGGAAGGTGATCACAGGCGGAATGATGGCCGGGCCACGGAGAGAGCAACGAGTGTCTCGCTCGCGAGTCGCGGCTTTGACGAAGCTCGTATTGGCACCTAGCGACAACTGTGCACCAGATCGTACGCGTTACACCGTTGATGAGGTGTTTTGGACGTCGCGCGGGTGACGTGGGATGACGTGGTGTAAAGGAATATATTGTGGAAGCTTCACTTCAAGCTCCAACGTCGACTGTTATGAATGAGCTTGCAGAGTGCGCAGTAAAACGAATAACGAGAATGATTGAGTACTGAATGACGATGCACGACTAAATAGAGGAAGTCCTAGTTAGGCGGGGAGGTTGGGCGAGGATGGCTTGGTGATGGTTGCGATTGGAGCGGAGGCCGACTCGGGAGTGGTTCGGTGCGACAAAATTGGAAGGACAGGTTCGTCGTGTGACCCTCGGGATGGCCTCGCTAACGAGTGCCTCAGTAAGGATTTGTAAATCCTTACATCGACCCTGCGACAAATGTGAAAGATCGATCTTCCACCGTACTAGAATCCCGTTATTTCCATTCCAAACGTTTAGACGCTTTCTAAACCACGCCAAAAAAACGAGCCTGCATAGGTTCGATTGCTCTCTGTGCTTTTGCTTCGATAGTGCAATGCTCGCTTACACCCTCAATTCCACTCGTAACAAATACCCAGAATATATTTATTGCTTTTCCGTAGATGACAATCGTTCACGAAACTAGTTTCAAATCGGAACAGTGCGATGGGAGGGATTCCACTCGCACGCGCATGGGTTTTCTGGCGAGCACGACGAATGCAATGCACACACCTGGCAGGTGTTTTTCCTGAAAGGGCCCAGAACGTTTCCAAGGGTCGAAACGTGTAACTCCGGATGTTTTTCACTCGTGCTCTTTGCTCGTCCTCCATGTTGTACTTCGTATGAGTAGAACGGCTGTTTTCTTTGTCAGCAGGCGCATGCTCTGCCACCTGTGGAGACGAGTTTTCATTGACGCTGAAGCTACAATGGGGGTGTTTTGTCATAATAAACATCGATTTCATCCACTAGCAGGGTAGGTAGCCTACGGTGTGGCGGAATCAACCGAATGCTCCAAGCACACACTTGGACTATCGATAGTCCCAAACGGGCAGGCTTCCACTGAAGATTTGGTCCCAATTCTTGTCCCCGCTGAAAGCTCTTTGGATCGTTGTTGCCTCGTCACCGTCACACTTTCACAACACACCACACACAGATGCGTGGGTTGAAATTGCTCTTGTTGTGTTCTGCCCCTCGAGACTGCAGAAAGTTCGTTAGATCATCTCTCGTGACTCGTCCACAACACACAGACAGCTGCGTGTTCCAGGCGCCTCGAGAATTTTAGAAGCTTTTTGATCAGATAAGAAGATAAAATCGGACTTCTCGAGATGGTTTCGGTTGTAGAGGTGGGAGGGGAGTGGGAGAGTAGGCAGGCAGGGCATAGAGGGAATGGAAGGCCAGGGGAGCTTGCCAAAAGCAAAGCTGTGATTCGTTTGCGAGCAACCGCGAAACCCGTTCCGCAAGCATACTGTAGATAGTAAGCTCGTTCTGGCACTCCCATTTCTCCAGTGAGACAATCCTGGCCGCACACTCTCTGGAGCTCGTGTACTGTAGCGAACCACCATAGTACTGTTCTGAACTGTACGCACAGTGTAACGCCTGTGGGCTAAGTGTTAATGGGCATTCCGCTGCGCCAAATAACACCCTCGTTTTGACCTAGTGGGTAGCGAGGTGTTACATTTGGTATCAGAGCCTAGGGTTCGAATCACGGCTGGACCACACTTTCCGCCTTTGGCGAGAACTGAAGTGCGGTTGTAACCAGCTCGAACCCAGCGAACGATCCTCCGCTGGCCTGAGCAACCAGCGAAGTCGCAGCTAGCAGCACTGCGAAATCTAGGTCCCAGCGGCAGGGGGCCGACTTCCTGAAGTCCAGGGCCAACGGGGACGTTGGCACCAGGGGGGGACGAGTGTAACGCCTGTGGGCTAAGTGTTAATGGGCATTCCGCTGTGCCAAATAACACCCTCGTTTTGACCTAGTGGGTAGCGAGGTGTTACACACAGTATCAGTTAGTGGCGGCCCACCCACTGGGAGGGGAAATTGTGACGAACCAGGATGACAGTCTCGACAACGATCGTCGCTCACCGCAAACTTTGTGCATCCGTACTTGTCCTTTTAGGATCGGGCGTCGCATCGATAAGTAGTACTGTACGTTACTGTAAAATCCATCCTTGCTTTCTTTTGCGTTGTGCGGAGCGGCGCAGTTCGGTTGACTGCGCTTCAGTGCAGCGGATCAACACAATGAATATTCCCAAAGAAACGTCACTTTTGGACCCACCCTCCGCGCCTTCGCAAGTGTCGGGGTGAAAGTGCCTCGTAGGGGTGAATACTTTCATAGAAAACCCATGGAGGGAGTCCGCAGACTCATCATTTCTCTTCGTTCTCTGTCGAAGGTCAGGGTCTCGTTCTTGCGCCGCAGTGCTTCTAGAAGACCCCTAGTAGAGTTCCTACCGGCGGGACAATGAGGTTGCTCCTTGTGCTCGTGGTGGTGCTCATGACAGGTGAGAGAGTGCTTGACACCTGAAAGCTCTTTACAGGTGAGATCGCTTGACATGTGAGAGTGCTACGGTTCTACAGCAGAGTTCTGTGATCTATTCTTTGTTGTGCTCGCATAGCCTACCAGTGAACGAGGTCGTTAGTTTGCCGCTATGCAGGGTGGAAGCTAAAATTCTTATTTCTCTTATTGAAGGAATAAACAGTCTGGTAGAGGGAAGCCTGTCGATCGAGTGGGAACTAAGGCTCCCTTGACTGCGTGCTCTGTCCGCGTTTGCAGGTTCCGTGGACTCTCTCTGGAACAACCGCCCTGCGTCAGTCGCGGTGGGTACACCTCTCTTGATGATCACGTTATCCGCCGCATGATGCAGTCGCTGTTTTTGTGTGCGGTTTTCTTTACCCTTAGATTCAAGCGCTGGTGCAAACGTTGGTTCTTGCTGAAGGTGTACGAATAACACACATGAAACCAGGCTGGCTTGCTGACTGAAGCCCAATACCAGCCAGCCTGGCAGGCGCTAGTGAATGGCTGAAGGCCTTGCTGACGCGGAAGCTTCAATGGGGGGAATGAACCACCACTCTGTTCGGCCCCATGGCTTCGGGTTCTGGGGCTGTGACCCAGGACTTCGGGTTTTGGGGCTGTGAAGGGTTGGTGGGCTTGACAACATTTAGACTATCCTGCCTCACCTGAACTGAACTTATAGGTCTCAACCTCATTTTCTCACATCTCCTTCCTCCTCCGCTTCCTGTTTCCTTGCACCCCGTTTCCACCCCTCCCTTGCTGCAGGAAGCTGTCGCGTATGTTGTGGGCGGGAAAAAGGGCTGGCCAGCAGTCGCGACCTGGAAAAAGCCTGAGCTTTTTGCAAGAGATGTGCTAGGTAAGCGTGCCTGTCTGCGCTGCGACCTTGCAATACTTCGCTTCGATTGACTATTGTTATTGCTGTACAGTTGTTTCAGCTTCTGCAAGTATGCAAATAACTCCTGAATTTAAAATTTACTTCCTCCCTTGCTTGTGTTCAGTATTCAAATGGAAACCCCGGAGAACGAGGAACGCTATAATCGGCCAAAAGCACAACCTTGCATTGGTGGGTTCCGTGGAAGATTTTAACGCGTGCAATGTCAAGAAGGTCCAGAGAGTGCTCGTGAAATCCAGGAGAAAGGCCAAATTCTCCTTCATATTAGACTTCTCCTCGACGTACTACATGATCAGTACCAAGGGCAAGGACTGCAAAAATGGCATGAAAATCACCATCACTTCTTGATTACTTCCAGCTGATTTGGAATCTATTAGCCAGGACTAGATTCTAATTGTGGTTGTACGTAACATTCATTTATGCTTATCTCTTCTGAACTGAAGGATGCAAGAAAGGATGTCTATTTTGTTTGCGTTTCTGAGAGATTATTGACCCTCACTGTACTTTCATCATAGCGCTTGTGACAAGCGGATAACTTCTATCGGGATTCGCACGGCGAAACCACAAAGCAGTGCAGAGCAGAGATCTGAAGTGAGCTTGATTACTGGTGGCTCCGAGATAAACTCGATCAGAGAGGGCAGTTTTCAGCAAGCTGCCGGCGATCGGGTAACCGAGTTACTGTATATCGCCGAGAGTGGGCGAACCTCACGACTTCAACAGCCGCCAGCAGCTTGGAGAGCGTGATTTGCCGCGTAGCACAGCACAAGTACCCCACGTTAGGGGCACCGCTACTACGTGCTTCACCACGTTTCACAATACTACTAGTACTACGACTAGCCTAGTACTATTGAGTGCTCATAGTCGATTTTCCACGTTCGAGCGCGCAGAGATTCCAACTCCCTTAGAACCGTTCCTTGTTGAATTGTAGATCCTACCGTACGAGAATTGAACACCCCTATTCTCAGCGTGACGTGCTTACGTGTATCAGACACTCTCGCACCGCTTTCGTGCTGGTAAGCGTATCAGGTAGTGCCAGCTGGCATGGAGGCTGCGCCATCCCGCGAGGCCATGCCTCCCCCTCGCGCTCCCGCCGATGTCAGGCCTCCGCCTTTAGCGGATTGCGCTCCTTCCGCAAATTCCGCTCCCTCCGCTCCATCCGCGGCGATGCCTCCGCCTCCCGCGCGGGCCAAGGGGAAAGCAAAAGCGGGAGAGGGGAGCGCGGAAGGGGAGACTCCGAAGTGGAGCGGAGAGGGGGAAAGCGGGGAAGGGGACACAATGAAGGTCACCCGCAGCGTAGGCGCGAGCGAGGGGGGAGATTTGCGCGAAAGCACAGAAGAGGGGGGTAGTACTGGCGGAAGCAGCGGAAAAGCGCATGAGATAGGGGGAGGGGGGCAACCTGCTGAAGGTGGGGAGCCTGGTGGCAAAGCGGAAAAGATGGATCATTCGCACTTAGCTAAACGTTTGGATACGAGTTCAGCAGATCAGATTTCGGGAAAGGGTGATGAAGGAAGAGCGGCTGCTGCAGGCACAGCAATCGGGGAAGCAGAAGCAGGGGATGGGAAGGGGGGGAAGGCAAGCAAGGGTGCTGCTAACGGAGGTGACAGTGGCGGTGGTGAGAGTAAACCTGGGAGTGGCAGAAGCAGCAGCAGTAGCAGCAGCAGGGGCAGCGGCGGAGGCAGCGGCAGCGGTGGCATTGGCAGCGGTGGCAGTGGCAAGGCACCGTATTCGATCCCTGATTGGGCGGCAGTTCCCAAGGTGCCGTTCAGACTGGAGGTGGTGAAGGATGGCACCGTGGCCGAGGAGATGGCCGTGTGAGTGGTGGAGAGTTGTGGGGATGGTCGAGTGGTGGGGATGGGTGAGTGGTGGGGATGGGTGAGTGGTGATGATGGGTGAGTCGTGCTGATGATGATTATGTGTGAATTCTGGTTATGGTGATGACCTGAGAATTGAGAAAGCGCAAGCAGTAATCAAGAATCAACTTCCCTCATCGTCGCCCCTGCTCTCCTCTCACCGCCCCTGCTCTCCTCTCACCGCCCCTGCTCTCCTCTCACCGCCCCTGCCCTCCCTTTCTCCTCTCCCCTCTCCCTCACAGCTCTGCCAAGAGCGCTTACATGTTTGGCCGCATCGACCGCTGTGACTGCGTGCTGCATGTGCTCTCTCACTCACCGAGGTGATCCGGACTCCACGTCCCCTCACTGCCACTGCTCTGCTCTTCCCCTCCCCTTTTCCCCCCAGTTCTGCCAAGCGAGCATACATGTTTGGCCGCATCGACCGCTGTGACTTGGTTCTGTGCGTTTACCGCTGTGGCCAGGCCTCATGTTTCCGCACTGCGCCAGCTCAGCTCCCCAGTCTCCCCACCCCACCGCCCCTGCTCTGCTATTCCCATCAACCCTCCTTGCAGCTCTGCCAAGAGCGCATACATGTTTGGCCGCATCGACCGCTGTGACTTTCTGCTGCAGCATCCCTCCATCTCCCGCTACCATGCTGGTACTGAATTGATGGTAAACAGGTGGTAACCAGGTGGTAACCAGGTGGTACTGGTGGTACCTTCCGAGGTGGTGGTAACATTCTGGTACATGGGGGTATTATGATGCATCGACCGCTGTGACTTTGTGCTGCAGCACCCCTCCATCTCCCGCTACCATGCTGATAATGCCATGGTAGCCAGGTGGTAACCAGATGGTACCGAGGTGGTGGTAACATGTTGATGCAAACTAACATGATGCTGATTTTTGTGAGATGAGGGTAACTTGCTGGTACATGGAGGTGCTATGATGCATTTGGCGGTTGTGGCCTTGTGCTCCACCCGCCCTCAATCTCCCCCTACCATACTGGTATGGTATGGTGCCCTACCCAGGGATATGACGGGGTAGCTAGCCAGGTGCTTCGTTTGGTACCTCTCCGAGAAGGAGCATGAAGCTTTTCATTAGCCTGAATGCACTTGACCGTTTGGACAAATGAGAAGGATTTCATCCCTGCATCGCCTGCCTGCCTGCCCGCCTGCCTGCCTGCCTGCCTGCCTGCCTGCCTGCCTGCCTGCCTGCCTGCCTGCCTGCCCGCCTGCCTGCCTGCCCGCCTGCCTGCCTGCCCGCCTGCCTGCCTGCCTGCCCGCCTGCCTGCCTGCCCGCCTGCCTGCCTGCCTGCCCGCCTGCCTGCCTGCCCGCCTGCCTGCCTGCCTGCCCGCCTGCCTGCCTGCCCGCCTGCCTGCCTGCCCGCCCGCCTGCCTGCCTGCCTGCCTGCCTGCCTGCCTGCCTGCCTTCCTGCCTGCCCCCCCGCTCGCCCGCCCACCCTCCTGCCTGCTTCCTGCCTGCCTGCCTGCCTGCCTGCCTGCCTGCCTACCTGCCTGCCTGCCTGCCCGCCCGCCCGCCCGCCCGCCCGCCCGCCCGCCTGCCTGCCTGCCTGCCTGCCCGCCTGCCTGCCTGCCCGCCTGCATGCCCTCCACCCTCGTACCTGCCTGCCTGCCTGCCCGCCCGCCCGCCCGCTCGGCCGCCCGCCCGCCCGCCTGCCTGCCTGCCTGCCTGCCCGCCTGCCTGCCTGCCCGCCTGCATGCCCTCCACCCTCGTACCTGCCTGCCTGCCTGCCCGCCCGCCCGCCCGCCCGCCCGCCCGCCCGCCCGCCCGCCCGCCCGCCTGCCTGCCTGCCTGCCTGCCTGCCCGCCTGCCTGCCTGCCCGCCTGCATGCCCTCCACCCTCGTACCTGCCTGCCTGCCTGCCCGCCCGCCCGCCCGCCCGCCCGCCCGCCCGCCCGCCCGCCCGCCCGCCTGCCTGCCTGCCTGCCTGCCTGCCCGCCTGCCTGCCTGCCCGCCTGCATGCCCTCCACCCTCGTACCTGCCTGCCTGCCTGCCCGCCTGCCTGCCTGCCCGCCTGCATGCCCTCCACCCTCGTACCTGCCTGCCTGCCTGCCATTGTGTCTCTCCGTGCCATTGCCGGCAGTGATCCAGTACGGGGACGACAGCGCTGCATTTCTCATGGACCTCCACAGCACCCACAAGACGTTCCTCAACAAGCAGCAGGTGCGGCGTGTGTGTGCCCCCATGCATGCTGCCGTCTCTCCTGCGCCCGCGGGTTCAATATTCCCGTGGCATGAGGGGATTCCGAATGCATCTCCACAGCACCCATAAGGCGTTCCTCAAACGTTGACTCCTGGAGTGGAGTGGAGTAGGGAGAGAGTGTGCGGGCGTATGTGTCTTTTCCATGGTGCTTATATTCACTCTGCTGATACTACATCCCTCATGCACGCCCAAGGGCCACTACACACATCCATACTGTTCTGCATCCCATCCACCCATGCATGTGCTGTGCGTGTGTCCACCTGTTTGCCATCTACATCCTCTCTCGTTGCCCCGCCCCCCCCCCTCCCCTCCCTTGTGTGCAGGTGAAGCCAGGCACGTTCGTTACCCTGAGGGTTGGTGACGTCATCAAGTTTGGCATGTGAGTGAGTGATGACGTCACCAAGGGCGTACAGTTTTCCCAGGCGCGGAATCCAGCCGCTGTGTGTGGGCCACGCGGTTCTGCTTTCTCCCTCTCTCGGCCTCACTCACATGCATGCGATGTTGGGCTCTCATTTGCGGTGTGCTTTGTGCAATGTGCTTTGTGCAATGTGCTTTGTGCACTGTGCTTTGTGCAATGTGCATGAGTATGAATCCTCCCACCAACGTGTGTATCTCTCCTCCCTGTCTGCCAGGTCGTCACGCCTGTATCTCTTCCAAGGGCCTCAGGACCTCATGCCTGAGGTGAGGCAGCGTGTGAGGTGAGTCAGTGTGTGAGGTGAGGCAGCGTGTGAGGTGAAGCAGCGTGTGAGGTGAGTCAGTGTGTGAGGTGAGTCAGCGTGTGAGGTGAGTCAGCGTGTGAGGTGAGTCAGCGTGTGAGGTGAGTCAGCGTGTGACGTGAGTCAGCGTGTGACGTGAGTCAGCGTGTGAGATGCGTCAGTGTGTGAGTTGCATCACTTTGAGAGGTGTGAAATGAGTCATGGCTTGAGGTGAGGTCAGTCAAAAGTGACTGCCACCCACCGGGTATCCTTACCCAGATCTATCACCCCTTTGCTCAGATGCCCCCCCCCCCACCCAGCATCCTATCCCCCCAGGAAGATCCCTCCCGTGCAGAACGCGATAATGAAATTCTTTTGAGGCGTCCCACAACCAATACGTTATCGTTCAACCCCCAACAACCTATCCACACAGGAGGGTCTGTCACCCCCGGAGCGCCGAGCAAAACGGGGCCGAGCAAAACAGCGGAGAGCACGATAGTAAACTCGTGCCGAGACACCTCACATCACAACAGATTCATTGTCGCCTCGCCCACCCACATTCCATCCGCACAGGAAGGACCGTCGCGCGCAGAGCGGCAAGCAAAGCGGCAGGCTGCAGCAAGGGAGGCGGCAAGGGAGGCAGCGGAGAGGGAGCAGCGGCGGGCCGTGGCAGCAGGACGAGGGGAAGGGGAGGAGCAGGGCGGAGGGGTGTCGTGGGGCATGCGGGAAGACGCTGAGGCGGAGGAGGTGAGAAGGAGAGAGGGAGAGCGAGCGAGCGGGAGAGGGAGCGAGAGTGGCTGGGCCGGGGTTGATAAGAAGTAGATAGCTGAGGCACATGGGATGAGAGGGGTGTCGTGGGGCATGCAGGAGGATGCAGAGGCGGAGGAGGTGAGAGCGAGAGAGTTTTAGTGGTTGGAATTTCTTTGACTAGGTTGCATGGGGCACGTGGGGCACGTGGGAAGGGTGTCGTGGGGCACATGGGAGGAGTGTCGTGGGAAGATGCAGAAGCGGATGAGGTGAGAGTGAGAGAGAGTGGCGAGGCTGGGGGGTTGCTCGGAAGTAGATGGCTCAAGCCCATGGGGGCCACGTGGGGACGGGTGTCGCGGGGCATGCGGGAGGGGTGTGGCGGGGCATGCGGGAAGATGCAGAAGCAGATGGGGTGAGAGCGAGCGGTAGAACGACAGTGGCTTGGATTGCTCAGAAGTACAAACATAGCGCCTGGGTTCAGGGGTGCACGTGGGGGGAAGGAGAGGGGGAGGAAGAGGGCGAGGGGGAAGTGTTAGAAAACTGAATGATGATCTCATTAAGGAAAGAAGAGGTTTACATAGTTGGAGAAGGAGGGATGAGTTGGATGAGGGCCTTGTCACAATTATTGGCCCTCACCAATAAGTTGGGGTCACCAATTATTGGAGGGGCCAATAATTGTGGTAGAGGACCACAAATACTGAACCTCCAATAATGGGGAGCTCAATTATTGGGGGGTCACAATATTGGACCAAGGTTGGGTTGGCCCAACCCCTCAAGTAGGGCAAACCCTGATTCTACACCCAAGCTAAGCTTGGGTGCTTATAACTACCCAAGACTTAATAGTCTGAGCATGATACAAGAATAGGAGTATTCTAACACAACCCCTGATCATGCAAAAGACAAGAAAGTCTTGGGAAGAAGTCGCAACCCCTGAATCAGCCACTGGAGGAGGGGGGAGCGAGCCCAAGCAGGGGAAGGAGCGAGGAGTGCACGGAGCGGGAGAGTGCCTTGGTGAAAATGTCTGCAGGGTTTGCAGAAGAATCAATCTTGCGGACTGTGATGTGACCGTCATTGACGAGGTCACGAATGAAACAGTGACGGAGCTCAATGTGCTTGGAGCGTCCATGGAAGACTGCCTCTTTGGTGAGGTGGATGGTGCTGGCGTTGTCGCACCAAAGGGCAGGACACGGCTGGGGGGCGCCAAGATCAGCAAGAAGGTAGGACAACCAACGCGCCTCTTGAGCAGCCATGGTGACAGCATAAAGTTCTGCTTCGCAGGAGGAGAGTGAGATGGAGGAGGAGCGAGTGGAGCGCCAGCTAATGAGGCCGCTGCCAAGGGAGAAGCCATAGCCTTGACTGCTGCGGCGGTCGGGCTGAGAGTCAGCCCAGGAGGAGTCGCTGTACCCAGTGAGAGTGGGGGGGGTGGGGCCGCCAAGGGTAAGGACGTGATCCTTGGTGCCGCGAAGGTACCGAAGGACGCGCTTGGCAGCACGCCAGTGCTCAGTGGTGTGTTTGCCAGTGCCAACGAATCGTGCGAGAACGCTGATCGGGTAGGCAAGGTCGGGGCGGGTGCAGATCATGGCATACATCAGCGCCCCGACAAGTTCAGCGTAGGGGTCAGGAGAGGAGGAGGGTGTAGTGGGTGGGGTGAGTTGATGACCAACGCGAAGAGGCGTGGAGATGGGTTTGGCGGTGGCCATGTCAAAGCGTTTCAGCACCTTCTCGATGTAGAAGCTTTGAGAAAGAGAGATGGTGCGCGCCTCCAAGTCCCGAGTGATTTCCATCCCGAGGTAATGGCGAACCTCACCCAGGTCCTTGCACGCAAGCCGCTGCTGAAGTTGATCTTTGACGTCCTGAAGATCGGTGGGGGATGCAGTGGCAAGGAGCATGTCATCCACGTAGACAAGGATGTAGAAAGCGGAGGGCGAGGTGCGGATGAAGAGGCACGGGGCGACTTTGGAGGGGCGGAAGCCAAGGTCCTTGAGTGTGGAGGAGAGCTTGGCATGCCACTCGCGTGGTGCCTGTTTGAGACCGTAGACGGGGCGGCAAAGTTTCCAGACCATGGAGGGATCAAATGGCGCCGAAAATCCCTGGGGTCGTTCCATGAAGATAGTTTCGTGCAGGTCCCCTTGTAGAAACGCAGTGGTAACGTCCATGGAATGTAAAAGCATTCCACAGCGGCCGACGAAGTCGAGAAACACACGAACGACCGGAGGGGCGGCTGTGGGAGAATAGGTCTCAAAGAAGTCGTAGCCGTGGGTCTGTGTGAACCCTTTGGCGCAGTAGCGAGCCTTGTAGACGGGAGACTCGCCGGGAAGCAGTTTCACCCGAAAGACCCATTTTCCTTTGACGACATTGGAGGAGGTGGGTCGGGGAACATCGATGAAGGTGCCGTTGCGGACAAAGGAGGATATTTCCTTGGCCATAGCCTCGACCCAAAGAGGGGCATCGAGGCACACCATGGCTTCTTCGTAGGTGGTGGGTTCGAAGATGGTAGGCGCCCCTGAGAAGAGAAGAACGAGGATGCCGGTCATAGTGCGAACAATGGGGGCGCGAGAGGGTTGGCAGAGGTGGAGGTAGAGAAGCTCGTCATGCGTGTCCTCAAAGAGAAGAGGGGAGAGAGGGGGGGGGGAGAGAGGAGGATGGGAGGTGGTTGCGCAGAGGGAAGGTGAGGGCGGGTCGCTGGACTGCTGCTCTGCTACTCAGCTGCTCAGCTGCTCGGCTGCGCTGCTGTTCGGCTGCTCGGCTGCTCTGCTGCTCTGCTGCTCGGCTGCGCTGCTGTTCGGCTGCTCGGCTGCTCTGCTGCTCGGCTGCTCTGCTGCTCTGCTGCTCGGCTGCTCTGCTGCTCTGCTGCTCGGCTGCTCTGCTGCTCGGCCCCGCTGCTGCGCTGCTGCTCTGCATTCGTGGCATGCTGTTTGTCAGTGACTCGACTGCGAGGAGGAGCCGGAGTTGGGTGAAGGTGACGACGACGAGGGAGTGCACTGGTGGGGAGGGAGAGGGGACTGATGATAGGGGGGGAGGGAGTGCAGGACAGTGTGTGTGGAAGGAGAGGGGGACCAAGGATGGGGTCAAGGGAGCGGGTGTGGGGGCGTGGTTGAAGAACAATGGATGGGACAGGGCGGGAAGGAGGGGGGGGGGGCAGAGGGGGAGGGGAGGAGGGAGCGGGGGATGAGTGGGGGGAGGGAGGGAGGGGAGAGGCGATGAAGTGGGAGGGGGAGGGGGGAATGGCGGGGTCAAGGATGTCACCGAAGGAGTCTGAGGCGGGGGGATCAGAGGGAGTGGGGGGAGCTGGGGTTGGGGGGATTACCGGGGGAGGGGGGAGAAGGGGAAGGGAGGTTGTGTCAGTCCATCGGAGAGGGCGGGAGGGGAGGGTGAGGGGGTCAGTGGGAGGTGGAGAAGAGTAGTAGGGTGTGGATTCATCGAAAATGACATCACGGCTGCGAATGAGGCCCTCTGAGGGGGGGTGGAGGAAGAGATAATCCGGGGAGGAAGGGTTGTGACCAAGGTAGATGCACGGATGGGCGGTGCAATAGGATGACATGGTGTGATTGAGGAACTCACCACCGCCGTCTGAGTGGAGACGACGGATGGGTCGTTTAAAATGGTTGGCAGCTTGAGTGGCCCATGCAATGATGGCAGCAGGGGCTTCACCTTTAGTGCGTAGGAGTGATACCGAGGAGTATCGGCTGTAATCATCCACAAGGATGAGAAGGTATCTATGGCCCTGACGGGTAGGGGAAGGGTTAGGACCCCAAAGGTCCATATGGACTAGGTCGAGAGGGGCAGGGGAGAAAGTGGGATGGCTGGGGTGAGGGTGTTGCTTGAGTTTGCTCTTGGCACAGACCGTGCATGGTGGGGCAGGGGAAGGGGGGAGGGGGGGAAGGGTAGAAGGGAGACCTTTGAGGAGGGATGAGGACACGGTTTTGCGAAGGGTGGCGAAGTTGGGGTGGCCAAGGCGATGGTGTAAGAGAATGGCAGGGTGGGTGAGTTCTCGACAGGAGCAAGGAGAGGGGACAGGAGTGGAGGAGGGGAGGGTGGGAGGGACGGGGGAGGTGGTGGCGAATACCTGGGGTGCAGGGGAACGAGGAGTGCGGAAGGTGTACATGCGAGTGATGGGACACATAGGAATCCGGGAGATGAAGCGGCCGGAGGTGGAGTGAAATAGGTCACAGTGAGATGCATAACCAGGGAAGATGGTGGTGATACCTGCATGTTGAAGGGCACCTTGGGAGATGAGGTTGTGACGGAGGGAGGGGATGTGGAGGCCGGACACTGTACCGGATGGGAATAGGGGACAAGGGAGAGTGGATGAGTGATGACTTTGGACGGCAAATGTGGAGTCGGCACCATGAATAGTGGAGGGAGTGGAGAGGGTGTTAGTGTTAGCCTTCAATCTCACACTTTGTACTTTGCATTTTCTATATCCTAGAGTAGTGTAGTTTGCACATTGTGTTTGGTTGGGTGTACACCTACATCCCAACCAAACCCAAATGTAATCTCCAAGCAATCTCCAACCCACCAATTGGAGATTGCCTTGGGATTACCCCCAATCCCTAGGGATTGCCTCCGATTCCCTTCCCCATCCATTCCCTCCCCTTCTTGGATGTACTTAAAGAGCTTCAAGCTCATTACTAATGCATCGCTTCTAAGCCTAAGTACTGACATGGTATCAGAGCCCTTCAACCGCACACGCGGATCATGATCCTCTTATCTCTGCGGATGTTCGTCCCGCAAACCTCGGCATAACCGCCTTCAATCTCGTCGCCGTTGATTCGCGACATTCGTGGGCGGAAATTCTCCCGCACCACTTTCCCATCACTTTCGACGGCATCTACTATTTCTCTGGTAAGCGCATCGTCGGCGCTTTAACCTATCACTCGATTTCATCGAACATCATCGCGTCATTCCCTCTCCTCGTCGGGCCGTCGCCCGTCGCCCTACAGCTTCTCGTCGGGCCGTCGCCCGTCGCCCTGCAGCTTCTTCGGGCCGTCGCCCGTCGCCCCGCAGCTTCTCGTCGGGCCGTCGCCCGTCGGCCCGCAGCTTCTCGTCGGGCCGTCGCCCGTCGCCCCGCAGCTTCTCGTCGGGCCGCCGCCCGTCGCCCTGCAGCTTCACCTTCGGGCTGCCGCCCGTCGCTCCGCATCTGCACTCCTACCCCCATCCCCCCCCCCCCTTTCCCGCAACTACGCAGCCGAGCAGCAGCGTAGCCGCGAAGCCGAGCAGCCGTGTAGCCGCGAAGCCGAGCAGCAGCGTAGCCGCGAAGCTGAGGGTGGTGTGTGGGGGGGTGTGTGGGAATAGGATTAGTAGGTAGTTGACACTAGATTGGCGTTTCAGTCAAACTCTCCTTCAGAAACCCTAAACCTCAAAATTCTCTTTCGTAAACCCTAAACCTCCGGTTCTTCAAAATCTCCTTCGGAAA